TGTAAAATTTTTGCTTGCAAATTTTTCTCAACACTTTAAATGTTATTCCATTGTCTTCTGGTGTTCACATGTTCTGTTGAATAATCATCCATCATATAGCTGTTTCTTTAAAAAAAAAAAAAAAAGTTCTTTTTCAGGCTACTTAAATGTTCCCTGTGTATTTGATTTTATGATGTGATTTACTTTGTATTTTTCCATTTTAGTGTTCACTGTACTTCTTGAATGTGTAGATTGATGCCTTTGATCAATTTTAAAAACTCCCAAACACTGTTCTTCAAATATTACTTCTCATTTTCTTCCTCCTTTCATTCTTGTGTTTATTCACATGTCTGTTACATTTCCTTTCTCTGCTTCTTATATCCTATTCTGCTTCTTTTTAAATTTATGTTATATCTCTGTGCTTCAGCTATGATAATTTCTGTTGACCAGTCTTTTGAGTCCATGAATCTTTCTCCTGGTGTGCAAAGTCTGCTTTTGAACCTAAGCAAAATTTAAAATTTTATATTTTTAATGCCAAAATGTTGCTTTTCTGTTGAATTTCTGTTGAAATTCTTCATCTTTCACTTATTTTTCAGACTTTTCTTCTTATTGTCTTTTGAAATATAGTTATTATTATGTTTGCTAATTTTGCACTTGAAATATATATATGCTATGTTTCTATTAAATACTTTCTTTTTAACACTAAATAATAAATTCTTACTTCTACCATACCTTGTAATTATTCTATGCATATTACATGTTATATATACAATAGTTTAGAGCTCTAATCTGACATATTCTTCCAGAAACCATTTACTCTTTTCTCTATTAGGCATACCACTTTAAGTTTGATCACCTAATACAATCAAGTACTGAGCTGACTTTCAGTTGTCGATTTTGTAAGACTCAATCCAGTCTGATTTATCTAGGCCTTTTAGGTATGTTCCTTCCACATTTTGATTTTAACTCTGATGGATGTCTTTCTCCTCAGCTTGTGATATTTCAGGAGATTAAGTTTCATCCTTCAGAATTTTTTAATTTGCCATTGTAGTTTTCTTCCATTTCCCTCAGCTTCAAAAACAAAAAATTCCTCAAGTAGAAAATTGGCTTTATGTTTGTCCTTTTTAATTTAACACAGCTAATAAAAATCCAAATGTGAATATAATCATTAAGCAAAAGATAATTATGAAAACAAAAGATATAAAATATCACTGAATTTATGATCCAGAAACTATTTTGGATCACATACATTCAGGCCTGAGTATACCCCATTTTCAGTAGAGAATTAGGTTCAGTTTTTTTCTTGATCAAATCAAAACATAAATTACATTAATCTCAAAACTGAGGAGTTACTATAATATGTATCAAAAAATCATATCATAAAATAAAGTCTTGGAACCCAAGACTTGAGCAACAGAATGGTTGCACAGGTTATACAAGAAAATAGGTCAATACATAATCTGGACAGTGTAGTTACTGAATAATAATAAGACCAGCCACAGAATGATAAGATCAACATCTAATTGAGCCCAGGTTCAAAAAATATCCCTTGACTGAGTCATAAAAACTAAGTCAAAATGTCAAAAACTGTGAAACATGCAATATCAAGTTGTGATGTAGCTATAGATATATGCAGGCACAGATTTAGATATTAACCTGCTCTAGATGAAATGGCTAGAGAGCATGAGTTGATTGAAATGAAGACAAGCAACAGCGAGACCAAAAGTCAAAGGCAAAATCACTGATGCATTTGATATCTCAGACTCTTCCTCTGTTTTCCTCACCCACCATATGTCAGTCTCCCATTAGTATATTTCCCTGTCCATCTTCTATTTACACCTTTCCTAATCTCTTCTTCTCAGTTTTTAAATCTCTCTCATGCCATTGTTATCTTTCATACAAAATATTATTATTTGTAAACTGGGTTTAAATATAAGGAGAATCATGTATTTTAGTGTCTTCCAAAGTTTGAGCATATTATCCTTAACTTAATAAATTTGAATCCAGTCTGTCTAATATCTGAGGGCACCTTCTCAGAATTTCCAAGGCTATACTCATGTTTTTCCATGACCTTCCCATAAACATTTATCAGGACTGTAATTCAATTGTCCATCAATTTCCTAAA